TGTGTGTGTGTGTGTGTGTGTGTGTGATGGTTGAGTTGTGTGTTCTACCTGCTTCTTAGCCTCCACACTGGAACGACCCTGAGATCTTCGTCGCCAGCGGTTGGTTGGTTTACTCCTCTCTGGACGGAAAAGGCCTATCCGCTTTGTGCAGCCCACATTGTACCTGTTCACAAAGATTCATTGCAGTTTTCATTAACAAAAAAGCAGCAGCTGATTGTTTAAATAATAGCAAAATATAAAACAAATGACTTGCCTCTTTGCACAAACCATGGAGCAGAATCTTTTCGAGGCCTTGAAGGTGTAGGCAAAGTCGACCCAGCCACAGTATTCACATGTCAGCTTCGGCTCTGGTTCTTTGTCTGTGAAGGAAGAAACGATATATAACCATGAGACACACATGAATAGACAGAGACACGCAGGATTGGGTGAAGAGATGCAGAAGCATGAGATGAGAATGAGACACAAAAAGGAGAGCAGTGAGTACAGCACCATCATCCTTCATCTCAGAGGCTCATGATCTTTTAGAGTCTGTACCTCCAGTAATTGTATCTACATTAAATGTGAGTTAAGAACAGATGGGTGTACTGTTGATAGACTGTACATTTATAAACCTTAAAAGTAGTACAAATAAAATTGTCGAGGTTGTGTTGGAGCACGCTGAGTTTCTTCAGCACGCTCATAAACTGATATACACACACTGGTGTACTTGTGGGATTCTCTTCGGCTCACCTGGCTGGTTCATGTCCTCTGGCTCGGAGTCTGTATTTGCTGCGTTGCTGACCGGAGTTTTGTCAGGGTCGGAGGAGAGCTGATGATCCAGCTTCTTTGGGCTGTCGATGAGAATGGGCAGACGCTCCACCTGGTGTAGAAAATAATTACAACTGTGAATAAAACGGTACAAGCTCCAGGAAAAAAGAAACAAAGCAAGAAGGGTTGAAATACAAACTGAAGTGAAGTTGGACCACCTTAACTGAACAACATCACTGTCAAAGACTAATCTGCATGGGTATATATTTTATAGCTTAAATATCAATCATCAAGAGAAAATGACCTGTCATTATTTTGATAATAAAGTTTTAGTCACATTCACCTAATCACACACACAAACACACATTAAGAGCTTTATACACTGCGCTTTTCCTTCCACACACCATTTATACACTGAAGGTAAAGACACTGGGCTATATGGGGGCCCAGTGCCCGAGGACACTTTGACATGCACACTGGAGGAGACAGGGATTGAACCACCAAACTTCTGGTTGGTGGACAATCCTCTCTACATCCTCAAGTCATCATATAACTTCCAGATGCTATGATCTTTCCTGCTGAATATAAACTATATTATTTCTGTTTGTTTAGCTCTTTACCTTTAGAGTGAGCATTTACACGAAATGTCCAGGAGGAGGCAGTGAGCCCAAAGTCTAAATCACATTAAACATTACAATGCACCTGAACAAAATGTATAATTTAAATTCATTGTTTTTGAGCTGTTAAAGATGCGATGATGAAACACTAACATCATATTCAAGGGAGACGACATGGAGTAAAGAAGGATTCCGATGCCTTAAGGTAAAGTAACTGAGAGACAGTGATGAAGCTCATTAGACAAACACTTTCATCCATCTTCAGAGTTCTACCTGACTAAAATTAATGACTGAATCAAACACAGGCTGTGAGTGATCACTACTAGGTGACAGGGTTTGTGTTTGCCTGCTGACAGCTCCCTGCAGGCATGTACACTGAAGAGGTGCAGTGGCTTCAGGTTGTTCATCATGTTTCCCTGCTGGTAGAACTGAGATCAGGCACTTACACAGACCGGGAACGGCTCGGCGCCTTCCTGGATGACAAAGCCTTCGATGACATGTGTGAGGACCTGGGGCTTGACGATGGCCTGTGGCAGTTTGTTTTCCCCGTTGTGCGGAGCGCTGCCCGTCACGCTGGGTACCTCGCTCTCATTTCCTGAGGTCATGGCTGGAGGTGGAGTCCCAGGTGCAGCGGACGGCTTCTTGGTCGAGCCCCCTCCTGACCGAGACATGAATATAACACAGTGCGGTTAATATTTAACAGCATGTCCTCTGTGAAGAATGGTCACTGCTGAGGTCAGTTTGAAATGACATCAGGGATAATTAGACAATTAATCATTTTTGTCATTTTGAAAACACAAAGCAAGAAGCCAGACGTCACAAATCCAAACATTTGATGATTTCCTTGTCATATGTGACGGTACACTATCACATAAAGATTGTTTGTTGTCAATCGATCAATAACTAATTTAACAACGGTAATTACCAGCCTTTTATTACATTTTCCGAGTCATTCTTTGAACTTCAAAACAATACTCAGGCTCGGTGATATGACTTAAAATCAATATCCCGATGATTTCAAACCTTTACCTTGTTTACGATTAAGGAACGATTTAAGTCAGTTAGAGGTTAATAATGTCCATGCCCAGCACTGAACAATACCAAACAATCAATTTAGTTTCTCAAATCTCAGTATTTGCAGTTTTCCTCACAGGATCAAAACCTTCAAAAGCATTAAATTCATTATAAGTTGTGATCCAGAATTGAATTCCAGGTAAGATTTCAAAACACAGGAGGAGATTGTGAGTATCTCTGGTCCGGTTGAAGATTTATTCACTGTGGAGAAAGTTAAATGCTGGTTAACTCACCTTTATAATTGTAGTCACAGTCAACCCTGATATTTAAACTGGTGAAATATCTGGAAACTTTTGACTGAACTACGGCTTTAATTCACTGTATAATAAGTTATTTGTCTTCTTATGATCACGCACTGAAGCGTCGGGTGCTAAACTAAACGTAACGCTAACTATTTAACACGCAGACAATGGATTGGCCATATCCGTCCAGTGTGAGTGACCCACTGTCGGTCCGTGAACGCATCATGTATCCGCCCTCACATGTCGACAACCACAAAGCGAAAGTAAACACCCGCCATGCTTTGTCCTCTAAAAGCCTCCAGCGCTGAATGAGAACAGTTTTCTTACCCCATCAACTTCGGCTGCGCACAGACAGTGAACGCGTCTGCTTTGGTTTTGAGCTGGTCTCTGTAACAACGGTCCCACAGACACACACCGACCCGCTGCTGGTCGGGTCTGATCGGGGGTTTTCACGCTGCAGCGTCGCTTTGACCCAGGACCCGCCTCCTGTTTCCTCCCACAGCAGCTCTGAGCCTCCCCAGGCTGCTGCTGCTGCAGGACCACATGTTTCCACCATCAATCTTTATGTCCCAGCCACTGCAACCAGTTTACCTGTGACCACTCATTAAAGAGTCAAACCAGCCAAAAGACACGACTGCAGGGGCGTAGCACAGATATCTGGGGCCCACGCATGGGGTGTGGATATTTTTATACCTGAGTCGAAACATCCTGATTTTTATGATCTTTACCAGAGTGGCCAAATCCCTTCAAAAGGCCACATTTAAATCCAAGAGATCTGGATTTTCACAGCATAATGTACTCACTCAGATAAAAACCCATACATATGTCGGAATGCTGGTTCAATTCAAAACAGCGTCTGCACACTAGTGGTAAATTGACCATGTAACTTTATAAAGCAGTCCCTGTAACTACACATGGACGATACTGTATCGAGGTCTCGCCAATACAGACTCAAACAATCAGAAGTTAGTCTTAGCTGTGAATCATGATGTTTCAGTCCATCATTGCACCGAATCACAAAATAAAACCAAACTTACTGGAAAAATGACCATTTGAAGAAACATCAGTGTGATAACAACAACCTAAACTGACAGAAACTGTAATCGTCAAACATTTATTTGATGTGTACTTTGACATCTTTATTTGATCCATGTCCCACCCATGCACATGGGGGAGGTGGGGTGTACAACATATACTGCAGCCAGCTGCCAGAGAGGCTGTCAGGGTGAATTTTCGGACATAGTTCTAGCTCTAGACACGTAGCATGAATAATCAACACTGCAGAGGTGGAAAAGTTTACTGCAGCTGTTGTAGAACTAAAACTGAACAGCTATTTTTATATTTTGTGTCTCAGTGGGTCACATTCTCAAAGTTAATTTGTGTAAATGGAGCGATTCTGCCAGCTGTCATTCCTGGAGCAAACATCTGCATTTACAGAGAAGAGACAGTTTCTCTGAATGTCTGTTAGTATACAGCACAGTTGACGTTTGACCAACTCAACAAACCAAATTTTTCTCGAGAGGCTCTTTCTTTAAACGTCACATTTTTCTACAGTAAAAATACAAACCAACAGAAACTTTGCAGACAGTGGATTACCAAAATAGTTTCCTGCTCTGGTGCTGAGAAGTGTTCCACACATCACACCCAACTCATTGCCCATAAACAGCAATTTGTGGTTTACAGAATGTTTCATTTTACAAGAAACACAGCATTATAACTATTTTTTCAAACAGTTAGGACAAAAATCACTTTAGAGACTGATCTATGTCAACATTTATGAGGCACAAGTACTCAGTATGTGCTCAGCGAGAGGACTATAGCTGCTGCATGAGGAAATGACAAATGGCGTATAATTCAACTGTGGAAATCAAGATTTTGTTTACAGCACAGCGGCTCCATTGTCACAACTTGTCATCAAAAGCTGTCGTATCTTGTCATCTTCTCCTGCGTCTTCTTTTTCAACCTGAGATATTTGTCGGGTTTTTATTTTTTAAATTTTACCTCCATCACTCATCATCAAGACGGCCACTCACTCGCAGTGAATTTTCCTGTTGTATTCTCACATGAGCTAATTACAATGAGCGACAGGCAATTTCCAACATTTAACTGACTCAGACATTTGCGTTGACACATACAGCCCCTCTGGAAAATGTAAATGTCCCAACTTTGTATTTGCAAATGGCTTATGTAAGGTGGCCAAAGTTGGTGGGATATAACGTGTCAAACTCGTTGACCACTTCATAACCATGATGTTCCCTAATCACTACTGGTATACGACCCTTCTACAGTAAATGGTGTTTGCCAAAAGGTATTTTTATGCATACTTATACTATTCTAAGTATTAAAAAGTAAGATCAACAAGTTCTTAATTACAGTTTATAAATATCAGCATTGATTTTCCTATTCACTCAAGAGTTGACCAAATCAATGAGAGCAGAGATAACGTTATAGATTCCACGTCAAGGTGAGAAGTTGTGCTTAATGCAGTTTTTAAACTGCTACCAGACTAACTGTCCCAGTAGCTAATCATTTCAAGAGTTTATTAACCAAAACATTAAGGTGTTCCACAGGGAGTCATTGTGCAGCTTAGAAAATCATGCTGAATCATTACCTTGTTGCTGAACAGCTGGTGTAATGGTATCGACCTTGGTCTGCTCTACAGGCTTGGCAGGTTGTGATGGTAAAGGTACAGGTTGCTGTTGCTGTTGTTGTTGTTGCTGCTGCTGCTGCTGCTGCTGTTGTTGTTGTTGTTGTTGTTGTTGTTGTTGCTGCTGCTGCTGCTGTTGTTGTTGTTGTTGTTGTTGTTGTTGTTGCTGCTGCTGCTGTTGTTGCTGTTGTTGTTGCTGCTGCTGTTGTTGCTGTTGTTGCTGTTGTTGCTGCTGTAGGTGCTGTAGGTGCTGCTGTTGTTGTGCAGATGGGGTCGGACATGTCTCTCTGACCACCAGTGAGGTTGGCTTATCTTTACTGTCCTGAAGCAGCCGAGAAGCCTTCAATTGACATTAGGAACAAAAGCCAGAGGGCAAAAAACGTGAGAAAGAGGCATCAGGGGCCATAAGTGCTTTTAATGTCAGTGACTCAAAAACTGAAAACCATTCGGTCTGGAAAACATCACACCAGTGGGAAAATATTACACCAGGAATCCCAAACTCAGAGGATCCCTTAATCACATGTGTGTCTTGGAATTGACATCAATACTGTGGGTGTTGCTGGAACAGTAGTTTTTGTTTTTCTGGTTTCAATGTATTAAATTCAAGATTGAGATCAACACAAAAAGTCAGGATGTTAAGTAGAACACCATGCCGTGCCTCATTAGAAACAAATGGAGGACAAACATGAATCACTTCCATTTCGCAATGTTGGAAAACAAGCAGAATGGATGATGTTTGGTAATTACTGTTAGAGGGACTGGATCTTAGCTGTATATAAAAATGTTTATTTTAGAGGATTTACTTTTATTAGACTACATTACAATGTTTGAAGGTTTTAAACAAATCAAAATAATAACTTGCTTTTGACTAAGCTACAGTTACAAGGGCTTTCCTTAAAGATCATATTTCACAATTTCTACCATAAAATATATATATACTGTACATATTCTTGTATATTATTGCATCATAATACTTAAGGATTCTGGGAAGAGCGCTGCAATCACAGTACCAGTCATGGTCCAACTACCTTTATGTGCTTAAACTCCAAAGATGCTAAGATCTACTTTTCTATTCCTCTATTGTTAGAGATGTTTGTGTGTAACTGTACTCACTGTTGGCTGTATTTGAAGGTTGATGGCGGTGAGCTGGACGGGTTGAGCTTTGGCGTGGCTGAGGGAGGAGTGGAGGGCGTGGGGGCTGATGGTGGAGTGGAAGATGGTCGCCTGCTGGCTGGGCATGGAGGGCTGGTGTGGAGCAGGTTTGGGCAGCACAGGGACAGGGTGCTGCGACGGCTGAATGGAGGCCGTCTGCAGCAGCTGACCTGTCGTCTTCTGGGAACCTGGACTCTGATGGACAACAAACTGCTGCTGCTGCTTGTGTTGCTGAACCAAGGACTGCGGCTGAATCTGGGTGTACGCTGGAACGAAAAAGACTGTGACACTTACAATATATAAAAAAATTTTCAGACACTTAACTGCTGTCTCCACCATACACAGGCATTTCCTTGATTCTAAATTACTGAAGCATCCAAGCCTCACTTGTCAAGTGCACCGCATCAACAAATAAATAAATCAACAAAGTGAGCTAGAGATACTGTTGGTTAACAGCAATTGATTATTTAATCTGTGCTCAAACAATTATTCAATCATGAATGATTATAGTAATGACCATTCCAAACACCCTCTTTTGGAGGAAAATTGATCAATTGTCAGATTAATCAATAAGAAAAGTAACTGTTTGTTTTTGTCATTGAATTGATACACAATTAATATCACATTCTGCAATTTTATCACATGTAATTGTCTTCTAAAAAGTTGTTTAGAAATATCTTTACTACACTGAACTGTGACTTGCTGCAGACCATAAGAACCCAGTTTCTATCAGAGTCAGCGGCTCAGAAACAATGTTGATTGTAGGTGTCTGTTGTTCTGTGGGCGTCCCTTCACCTTCCTGTTGACAGGAGCTAATATTAAGGGCTGGTTGAAAGGTGCACTGTCGCGGCAGGTACAGTTTTGGCCTGAACATTACTCACAAATCGTTTCAAAAGAGCCTGTCATCACCTGTCAGAGGTGCTGTGGGTAAAGAGACATCCTGAGCTCATAACCTGCCCCGGAGATAAGGACACAGAACATCAATCTTGCATTGTGAGCATGTGTGAGTGGGTGAGTGTTCTGGCAAAGTAGCCTGAGGCTACTCAAACATTAGAAATGCCTCAGGAACGAACATGAGGAGCCAGCAGTCCATGACACAGTCTGGATGGAGGTAATGTTGAGTCAGTGGGTCCGAGTCACTCTGCTGCTTCCTTCATCTGAATGACTGTACCAGGAGGCAATAAGAACTAACAGACCCAGACATGTTACTGAAATCCAAACAAGAAGTGAGTTGCCCCTGCAGAGAAGAACTATACGGTAGCTTCTGCTACACGAGCCACATGAACATGGAGGTGTGTTTGGTAATGTTAATGAACCCCTCTCCAATAAATCCAAGCATGGAAAACTGCCAAGTACATCAGCATTTGTCTCAAATCCCCATGATCCTCACCCTCCTCCTCCTTCTCCTCCTCCTGTTCTTTTCATGATGTTTTGTGTGGGTTAGGCTCCATCTGGTTTCAAAGTTTCCCTGCGAGAGACTAACCGCAGTCTGTGCCCTGCTGCGGAAAATGTAGATGTTTCAATCCAGCGGAGTTTGCATGTCATTAGTCCCTTAAATGCTACAGGATCTGCTGAAAACGGTTTTCTTTTTCACGTGGCGAGACACAGTGGAACCCACCAAAAGAAAATTGGGTTAGCTATGGCCTACGCAGACGATAATATTTACAGTGTTCAGAGCTGGGTGGATATACACATAAATTCTTGACTTTGGAAATGTTAGTTTAATGAGCCTATAGTTGAAACAGTGAGTTGACTAATCAATTAGTTAATTGACAGAGAAATAATCAGCAACAATTCTGGTAATTTAATACTTCAGTAATTTTCAGTCAACACTGAAAATAAGCAGCTGTGGCCAAGATGACAAATATAACTTTAAACTGTTTTTCCATGGTCTTTATCAGCAGATGCAGTTCGGTCGTCTTGTGTGTGCTGACAAAGACCAAATGTCTATAATCATGTCAACAGTTCTGTGAGGCTGCTGAGCAAAAATGAGGTTTAAATATTTCATGTTGAGAGGAGTCTAGTGGGAGTGTCTCTAGTTTTGAATGTTTGTCAAAACTGTGATAACAATTCATCACACGGTTGCTGAGATGTTTCGGTCTAGTCAGTGAAGTCAAGTGAAGAGCCAATAAAATGGTTCTCCAGATATGCCAGCCACAAACAGATTTCTGTAATTATTAAATAGATCATTATAATGTTGTTGAAAATATGGCCCTAAAATCATAATATTAAACAAAGCAAACTGCCAAGAGTCAAAATACAGCAAAAGTTGTTTTGTTATTGAATTACAGCGCCCACAATCGAACTGTGCAGTTCCTACATTCCCCAGCTCGAGTCTGCTCAAATGAGGGGGAATTCTGAATCAGTGCACACCGGATACAAAACGCCGATCCCATGAATCCTGACAACTTTCTCAAGCCCCTAATGAGGAACAGAGAGAAGTCTTGGAGGAGGAGGAAGACAGGGGAATTAATTTTAACTGCTCTTCCCCCTCAAGGTCTTGGGATTAAGGAGAGGAATGACTCAGGGCCCCCACACACACATATGCAATCATACAATCTGAAGTCTGGCTTCCAACCCCACTTAAACATGCATATTTATCTATTGGTGCAGAGTTGTGCAATGCTCTGAGGTTGAGGACATTATATGCTTTCTAATGAGTTCATAGCACCGGGCCCTGGAAAATCCCTGAGGTTCCACATTCTCACTGGCTGCTGCTTTGGCTTAATTTCATAAAGTCACATTCGAGCTGCCTACAAATATAGAGCCACCTCAGGCCTGATCCTCACTTCAATACAATTGATCAGATACCTGCACTGACAGAGGGATAAAAACAAAATGCAGGGTCCTTCTACATAAAACATTTGTGAAGTAAAAGCTCAGAACCCAAAAGAATGGAGAGGAAGAAAAGCCGGGAGAAAACCAATGTTGGATTTCAGTATTCTAGCAGTAGCATACTGTACATCTTGGCCCTTTCAATCTTTTGAATGAACTAACATAGTGGACATTTTAAAAGACAATAGACGAGGCCAAAACTGGTTGAATTATTTGCTCAGTTTCTTAAAAAGGGTTACTTCAGCACTTAGTGTCCAGGTTTTTTTTTTGTGTAATCATATTCAAGTTAAACTGGCAACCGATGCCTTTGCTAGACGCTGCATAATTTAGCCAAGACACAAGCATCGTGTTCAGACCTGCTCTTTAATCTGTGAGCATGGTACTTTTGGGGGTTCCCTGCTGTGGTTTTTATAGTAAGGTGGCTCGTTTCTGCCGAGAGGAGGTGATCAAACAGTGACTGCAACAAGCCAGATGGCCAAACGTTGGTATCCAGCCCAATTCCTATTATTGGAGGAAAAGCAATAGACTCTTAATGTTTGTGAAGTTCACTGTTAATGGAAACATTGCTCCAAAATGAACTTTCGTCTTTTGGATAGCGAGATAAAAACCAAAAATAGCAAGCACAGTTAACCACACCTCCTTTTTGTTGCTGTCTCAGCTCGGACCAGGCTTGTCTCTGTTGAGTCACGTTAAACACGAATAAAGACAAGATGAGGTTGACTAACCAGTTTTGATGTGAGAATATTTTTACTAATATGGTTAATATTCAGTTTGTGTGCCTCCTTAATTATTTACCAGCTTATTATCTGTTTTTTTCAGTTTTATTATGTCTTCAGGCAGAAGAAGAGACTTAACTTGAGTCAAATAAGTAATACGACATTGGAGAAAAAGAAAAAGCACCTTATTATTAGCAAAATAAAATATGTCAAGTCTGTCAGAGTTACTTAATTACTGTATCACGCCTTATATCTTTACACATCACATCTTTATAAATATCTCTACTTATTTATTACTTTTATCTTTGCTGCTGTTACATGGCAAATAATACCACAGTGGGACTAAAAAAGGGAGATCTTGTCAAGTCCACAATTGACCCAATAAATTTGAGCATGACACAACCAATTTAGGGTAGAAAGCAAAGGTAATATAGCAAATTAGAACAATCACTAAAAGCTCTTTTTTAGCAGTAATAAGTACATAAATAGACCAATTAATTAGATCCTAATTATATGTACAGTCATTAAAGCCGAGGTTAGAGACAGGATGTGAACTTATCACCAAGCATCAACCACAACAGACTTCTATTAGCTGGAGCAGGACACAGTTTTATTTACAAGAGACAGTGATGTGCCTGCACAAACACATTTTGTGATTTCAGTGAATCAAAGTGCATAATGACCCAGTCACACTCAAGTTGAATCCATCAGACAGCCGTGTTGCTTCTGCTCTTCCTGATCCACAGTGTATTAACTCCCCAGCATCTCGTGTGCACACCTGTCCCTCATGGCTTGCTGCTATGGCAACTCATGTTAATTTTTTTCACTGTGCAGCCAGACTTTCTGCTTCCATCCTCCCTTTCATTTTATGTGAATCCATTACTGCAACAAAGCAAGACGCAGTTGTGCACCGACACATTGGGATAATCCCCACCCCCGCCACTTTTTCAGACACATGCTCCAAAAAACATACGAGCACACACACGCATCTGAACAGGCAGACAAAAACAGCAACATGCATTAACAGCGAACTGCAGCGTAAATAAGGTTTACACTCATGTAAACTCCACATACACTAGATTCATACTTCATATTTTTAAGCTCATCCACTATAAAGTATTTTGTGTCTCATGAGGACCCTCTGGAAGATGAGATAATGCATCTGAAGGGACTTATCCTACAGACACTCTGGACTTAATTTGACTTAATCAGCTTGTAGTGCTGGCATATCCACACAATTCACACAGCAAAGGAAGAGAAAAAAATAACAGCTGCCAACTTCCAATTACACAGTAAGTGGTTTAGAGAGACTCTTGCATGGCATTGTGCCTTTCACAGCTTCTAGTTCAGCAGCCCCACTGTTTCAGACGCAACCCAACACACTGTCTTTAATACGCCTGGTTTCACCCCTTCACTGAATGAATGGGTTTGTGATGCAGGCCCTGACATGTCACACTCCCAAGCCAAGAGAAAGCTATTAAAAGTGCAAAGAGTAAAAACACTTCTTCTCATCTGAGCTTACTATAAACACGAGAGCATGTTTCTACTGTATATCCGTCAGTGGCTTGAAGCCTCACGTCTATTAAAAGGTTTGAAATGTACATGTGCAGCACGCAGCCGCTGGAACAGAATCTGGCAGCTAAATCTATCTGCCCACAAAAAAACAAAAAAACTTTCCTATGGACCACTGAGTGTAGCTGTATGTACAGAAATAACACCTTCTAAAAAGGCAGCTGGTTTAAATTTAACATACCCATCATTTACTGTGGACCATCCGTCAGAGACACAGACAAACACTGACAGGGGACGTCCTGAACCAGGGCTGGCTTATGGGACATTTTGACAGAAAGTGATTGATTACAGCTTGTTTGATCAACCTATCGATATTCAGGATTTAAAAAGTATGTTGTGACATACCTGATTTATAAATGTGTAAGAAATTATTTGACCAAGCTATCAGTGTTTCCTTTTGATTTTGGTTTCTTTTAGAATTGGGTGAGTGAGTATTTTTAAATGGTTTTCAGTAGGGCTGCTACTGACAACAAATATTCATTATGGATTAATGTCCTTATTTATTTAAAGACCCGGTGTGACGTTTAAAGCCCTTTAAAGACAGATGAGACGTGTTCGCGTTTTATACAATGTTTTTAAGACATGAAGAAATACATCATGATTTGCTAAAATGCTGGCAGGAAAGGTAAAATGCATTGTGGGAAATGTAGTTTGATTAATTTTTGGTCGCTCTTAACATGCAACACTTTTTTAGTTGCATTTAAGACAATGGCTGACGATCTAAGTGAGAGAAGAGATACTGAAGCAGTGTTTCATTGACGAACAATGAAAGTAACAATGAACAGTCTCAGTCAGTTAGAAGCGTGCTTGAAGAGGGGGGGGTCTCTCTCTGAGTTTGCTGGACATGTACATTTTGTAAAAAAAGGTTCATTAAGTTAAAGGAAACAGCAATAATTAATAATGAAATCCAAATGTTTAAGCTATCAAATGATTTTTCATTTGATGCGTCTATCTGCTTTAAAGACTGACAAAGTTTTTGTCAGCGGTTGTTCAAAACAATGCTTACGTTTTAGAGTGCAAAAGTGAAAAATGCCTATTTCTTCCAGGCGAAAGTGATGTCTTCATGTTTGTTTTATCTGTTTTAATATCTTGTAAGATGAAAGAGGGAGTAAATCTTCACAGTTTGGCTGCTGTAACTAAGTGTGTCAGCTTTAATATTCATATCAGTAATATTTATTATTTTTATTCCTTAAAAATGTTTCATTTTTCTGCAGAGGTCTGGGTCCTTTTGGTTTAGCTGTGATGTTCACAGGATCTGCTTCATGGCTAGAAGGCCTCCACTCTAAACACTTTTCAGGTAATGGGATTACAAGCGTTTCTTACCTGGGGCAATGAGAGACTGAGCGCTAACAGCCGTAACACTGCGGCTCATGTTTATGGCTCGGACTTCTGTGACTGCTGCACCCTCCCCCTTCTTCACTCCATCAGAGGAGCTGTCTGAGGAGCTGGTCCTCCCTCCTGCAGCGACCGTGCCGTGCGTTCCGTGGTTAGGATTCTTGATCAGTGGGGTGGGCTGGATGGGCACAGGACTCTGCTTCAGACTGAGAGCCTGCAGAGTCTGAGTCTGAGAGGAAGACGTTGTCGCCCCCTGCTGGCCACGGATGGCAAGGTTCTGGACCTGATTCTGGGCAGAAACATGGAGACAACTTTCACATTGGGTTAAATGAATAGATTTAACCAGTTTTCCAGAATCATGACACTATTAAAAGAAAAAACACAAGTGAAATATATTTGTTGTGTTTAGTCAGAATTGATCTGCTAAATGTGTTAAAATACTGAAACAATTTCACATTCTCCACTCTCAACTATGACGCTCACCTCTGCATTTAAGTATATATTTACATGAGGGTTCCAGTTCAGGGCATTAACAATACATTTGAGAGTGTAATTATAATTTTTGTGTTATTAAATAAATATAAAAACCTTTACCTGTGAGGAGGCCTGGGAGGAGCTGTCTGACTGGACAGCTGTCACGGTAGCTGTTGGAGTGAAGATCAGCTGAGGGGACAGAGGAACAGTCCGGCCGAGGCTCCTGGCCACCTGCACCAGGTTACTCTGCTGGGCCTTAGGAGAAAAGACAAAAAGGAGAACTGAATGAAAAAAAAACAGGGTTTATGGATTTGATTGTTCTTTTATATAAAAAAACAGTTGAGGCAAATTAAGGGTTAAAAAGCCACAGCACAGAAATACACATATTTCTTTCAAAAAAATATGTATTGTATGATATACGTTCACAGTTTTGGACATCAAATGGTGAATATGTGGAAAAACAATCGATTAAAAGAAATGAAAATCTCTGTAGGGCTTAATTCAACATGAATGAATGCAACAGAAGCCTGCACCATAAATAAAAGCTACGACGTTCTATCCTGACAAATGTGTTTTGCTGCCTTTCAGAATGATCAAAGACATCCCATAATGCTGTGTACTTGGTTATAATGAGGTGGCAGGAACAGTCTGTTTGTACTGCCAGCTGCATTATTGACAGCAAATTGAAACAAACAAGTTACCGACAACCAGCTGCACCAAAATAGTCCAGTGGAAGTGAAGACTATATATTCATTCAGCATTTCTTCAAAAAAACAACAGGAGCTTAACCTACAGCCAAGGTAACGCCTGTGTCCTCAGAGCATTCATACATATTCAAGGAATTCTCCTCTGTGTTTGAAATGAGCCCTGTGGGGCCGGACAGATCATCCTGACCACCTACTCTCGTGGCAAGATGAACATAAAGCACCAATTACTATGGGAGAAGATGCGTGCATAACATTCATGTATTTATAGAAGTGGTGAGTGTGTGTGTGTGTGTGTGTGTGTGTGTTTGTGTTTATGCATATATGCACGCTTATGTAAATGTGCCAGTGGCTATGCCCCAGGTCTCACCATCTGTGCTCGCAGGTACATCTGTGCCTGGCTGGCCATGAGTGTGGGGCTGGATGGACTGCCCAGCAGAACAGCTTGCTGGGAAATACTGGTGGGGGTGGAACTAATGCTCTGGGCCCGGCTGATCAGCTGAGCTGCCGCTGGGGACGTGGTCTGGTTGATCTAATGGGGGAGAAGACGAGCAGGATAATTAGTTTACACACCTCTGTACGTGTACAGATATGTTTATCATCATAAACCTACCAAAAGGGTTTCCACACTTTCTGTCACATCAAATTCAAGAGCTTCTAAAAGGCCTTTCTACACCAATTACCTCAACACGAATAGTCAACCATCACAAAATATCATAATAGCACCAAGAGTCATTTTGAGTAAGAATATCAATAGAACTTCAATTTCTAATTTTGCTATTTTCAAAAAACTTTTAAGGAGTTCTGTGCTTTTTCACAAATTATCAAGGATTTCAAGGACTCATTGGACCTCAAATATACAACACGTGGAGCATTCCACAACTTAGTACATTACCTAAACAGCACAATGCACAGAGCTGATGCTGTCAGGGGCCCAGATTTCTTTAAGTGCTAAATCAACTTAGTTTCGTGATAATCTAATGAACAACAATGACTTAAACTTAAGAGGCTTTTAGCGGACAGACCCAACACTCAAAAGTGCACTTACCGTAGCCTGAGTAGATCCTGTCTGCTGAGATGAAGTGCCGTTCTGCGAAGAGCTTTGCCGTCCAGCTGCGATACTGGCCTGACAACATGAGTGAAGAATAAGTGTAAATGAGAGAGATACCAATTCCAGAAACAAGTCTTGCATCAGGTCAACAGCAATGATAATCTCTCCACCATGTGAATGATTTATTCTTGTTCAGTTACTGACCTGCTGTACAGCGGCCAGGCTCTGGAGCTGAGCGGTGCTGAGGCTGTGCTGTTGCTGGAGGGCAGCAGTTTGCAGCATCAGATGCTGCTGCTGGGCAGCGTACATCTGCTGCAGGTACTGTGCTGCTGTGTTAGGCTGTCTGTGTAGTGCATTCTGAAACACCTGAAAATAAAGACAGACAAACAAACAAACAAAGATATTTGAGTAATGCACTCTGCACACAACAAGAGTTTGGCTTAACTAAATTTAATTGGGCCAAGAGACAGAAGACGAAAGACACAGAGATTCAGCTACACTGCTACACAAACATCAGTCCCAAATCCTGCATGAATAGTAAAATGGCCTGTATTCATAAAGCAGATTTTCCAGCCTCGACCACTCAAAGCACATTCACACATACTTCTACAAAGAGAGCTTTTTCTGTCACACACCATTCATAGACTGTCAGTACAGCCGTCAGGGGCAATTTGAGATTCAGTATCTTGCCTAATGACACTTTGGAATGCTGACTGGAGGCGAGGATTTAACCAACGACCTTTTGGTTGGTGGACAACCCTCCTCTCCACCTCCTGAGCCCTGCATGAAATAACAACGCAGCTGTCAGAACCTCAAACACTGTGTGAATGTGTTACCTGCCTCTTTCCAACATTCCCAAATCACACACCTGCTTCCAGCTATTTCCCATCCCCCACACGCACACATACACAGCTGTGTACAACACTGTGTGAAATCATAACGTTGTATCTGCAGTCTGCAACAGTGTCATAAAATCTGCCGGTGGCCCCACAAATGTCAAAGCAGAGTGAGCACTTGAAGTTAAATTACTGCGAGACACAATCAAAACAAGGCAAGTGATCCTGGCGTTCTTAGCAGATACAGCTTTAACTAACGGCATAAATGGTTATGAGGCAAAGTGCTTTTTTATTTACAGGGAATGTGCCTAAACTTGGAAACAGGAAACTAGACTGTCAGCTGCAATTATGTGAAAAATGTATCCTCCTCAGGGTTAGGATGAGGGTCCAGTGAATTACTGCCTGTGTTTACTTTATGTGACATAACTCTATGGGCTAATTCTGATTAATTTGAAAATAAAAATTATAAAAATTGTATTTACTGTATATATTTTTAACAAAGAGCTTTAATGATTAGTCAATTCAATCAATTTGTTGATCACCACAAAATTAGATCGCTAATGGAAAAGCATGGAAAAGAAAATCTGTCTGGTTGGACAAAATAAAGGTTTTATTATTTTATAGTTAAATTAATAATTAATTGACAGCATTGTTAGATAAATGTATAATTAAATATAATAATAATATGTTGCAGCACTAATGTCACTACCATAACAAGCAACTGACAAATGATGGTTGACAATCACGGTATTGAATCAGAATGCATTGTCATTGTACTGTGGATTAGATCACAGACTGTGTATTTACATGTATTTGACTGATGAGATAAACACAATTGAAGTGTTTCAAAATGTGTAAAACTTGCAAACAGACACATAAAATCTCAATCAAAGTCAGCAACAAAGGTCTCAACAATTCTTTGACCAAAGTTTAACAAAGCTAAACCACTGGGAATAAATCCTCAACCTTCACCTCTGGAGGTGCCCCCTGCGTGGTTGCCAAGCAACCAGAAAGGATGTTGACCTGTGGTCTGTGGTGTCAGTGGACCATACAGACCCACATCTCTTGGAATGAGGGTACAATTAGCAGGGATCCAACACATACATGCATTCAGCTCTGATTGACCACAGCTGACCAGCAGTCCCTTAAGCTCAGGGGGCGTTTAGCTGTCAATAGCATTTGCCCTCTAACTGTCAGCAGGGTGAGCACGAGGAAAGGAGGGTGAGATGACACAAAAACCCTGCTGTCAAAGCATCAGCACTAAAAGTTGAGTGGGCCTTATTCAGGGAGAGTAAGCCTATGCAGAGGTTTATCCCAGGGTCAAAGGGTCAAGAGCAGTAAAGGACTGAAAGCATTCCTCCCTTCAACCTGAACAAATCCTGAGTTGTGACGGTTTGTTTGAGCTGCCGTCATCAGTGCATCGATCAGAGAGAGAAGTGCCTCTTATTTCATTCAAATGCTCTGATTAGAAACTGAACAGACAGGCTTTTGTGCACCAACAGAGGGCAGTAGAGCAGAGGAAAGTGTGCTTCTGTATGTGCATCTCAATGTGAATGAGGTCCAAGTTTGTATAACACACACACAGCTGTCAACAATTTTATTCAAGCCAAGCTCACCTGCACTGTTTGTCGGTCAGGTATCCTGTACACAGATATCTGAGGCACTGTCTGTCTTCCTGTTGTGGTACTAATACTGGAACTACTGGTAGTGTTACTAATACTGCTGCTGTTATTATTACTACTACTACTACTGGTGGTGGAAGTAGTAGAAGTAGTATTGGAGGCACTACTACTGCTGCTGGCAACGGTGGTGGTGGTGGAGGAGCTGGTGGTGGAGGAAGTGGTGGTCCCGGTGCTGTTAGCCGTGGAGGCAGGGGCCCCCGGCTCACTCTCCATGGTGCCCTCTGCTCTTCTCACCTTTGACCCCCGGCTCTTCTGAATGGCTCTCCTGTGCCTGGAAGAGAGAGAGAGAGAGGGTAGAATGAGAAAAAGGACACACTATTTTCCATCCAATTTCCAAACCCAAATTATATTTTTTTTCATTCACAACACAAATGAAGTTAAAATTCCACTGCACATGACATTTCAAGAACCGCTCAACTTCAATAAAACGTGACACCACTAATACACATGAAAGAATTATCAGAAATCAGTTAATGAAATGTGAGCAGTGAATGTATTCATTTCAAAGTATTTTCCATCTTAAGCAAATTTGAATAAGTAAATGTGAACAGTCAATGACCTGCCAAAAGTTTCTGCAACCAAAGGCATCGCCCTAATTTCAATCAAAACAGTAAGCAAGGTTAAACTCACAGTGAGCAAAACAGCTCAAAATACAGTGTCTGGGAATAACAAAGAAAAAAATATTTATTGTGATTACTGAAAGCCTGTATTTACAATTATAATTATAATTGATCATGGTATATTTATTTAATCTAAAATTAAACAAAAAAACTTCACTGACAGCCCTGAAATCTTAATGGATGCGCTGTCTACCCAGACACCTCAACCAGCTTTGCCACAACACTCAAACCTCTTATATTCCCAGTATAATCCATGTGACTGCAGATGTGAACACAGCTGTGAACAATAGAGCAAGGTTAAGAGGGTCATTACACAAATCTGCTGTACGACCTGAGCATCATGGGAAACGACTAGTTCCTCTGAAAGTCTGTTGTTTTAATGCATTCACAACAGAAATACTACATCTAAATTTAGCAGCCAGTAAAAAACTACTCTTGTAGTAGCCTAAGATGACAGTCACTAACTCTGAAACACTCGATGAGTCTGACTTCCTTCTCAAAAACAAAAAGTGGGGCAAGGCCGAGCGTGGTAGCTGGCTGACATTAGTGGTTACTGAATTATATCTTAAGCAGTGGAGCTTTTAACCTAAATGAGAACATGCATATTTCATCAAAGCTCAAAGGCAAAAGTACAACCATATGATCAACAGCCCCAACATTATAGGCTTAATGATTTCTCTAAGTCCTCCATATTTAAGAGTCCAGTCTATTTGTTAAGCTAAAAAGTAATTTGTTTATGTAAAACAATGTTTACGACATTGGCCATCTTTACTTCTACATCCGTTTGCTCTTGTCAATCATGATCATTGACAAAAAAAAGCACAATGATTTAAGGCCCTTCCATAAAAGGCTTTTTAAGGGTTGGTCCCCTGGTGCTCTGCTATCCATTAGCACAGGAGGAAAAGGTCCAGAGCTCTCTGAGAAGATAAGATGGAGGACAACCCGGCATGAGAAGTGAGAAGAAGTCAAGGCAAAAAAACAGCAAAGATGAAGTTGTGAAAAGGATATGAGGCAACTTCAGAAGTCTTTGATGAAGCTGAGCTCTTACAAAAAAGATAAGAATAAAAAGTTATCAAACAGATTGAGATGCTGGTGGTGTAGAAAAGAAGGAGGGATTAATGAGAGTGTGGGGAGGAGAATTCAAACAGCGTGACAGCTGATGTAACAGAGCTGAAAAGAAAGGCCAAAACAGGGAGGATGGAATTTCTAGCCCTGAGGTTAGAGGTGTACACATGAAGTTGATGGGGGGGATTGCTGGAGGGGAAAAAGCGCATGAGAAGGTCGAGGGTTGGGTGAGTATGTTGAGGGTTTTAAATGAGCTGGAGTAAAGAGAGCGGGTGTGATGGAAGTAATTAAATAAGGAGCAATGCTGCTGCCATGCCGCAACTCTTAAGCTATTTCCTCCTCCTCATTATTCTTTTGAGCGGATTAGGGGCCAAAGCACAGCTCGATGGCCCACTTATGCTACAAAGCAGACTTGGAAAGAAACTGCAATCTCACCGAACCATATGCTTTTCCTTAAAATGGCAGCTTGGAAGAACCTAAACAGCTTTAAAATATCTAAGTAAACAAATAGGGCACTGAATGAACTGCATGAACTCTAAATGAAAACTTTACATGATTGTTAATATAAAACACAAATTTTAATTAAATTAGTGTAAATATTATCAATGTTGAGAAAATTATACAAAATGCAAATTAGGGTGTTTTAGAATTATCGAAGCAAGATTATCAGGGATGAATCCCAGGCAAAACTGTAATTTACTATAACTCTAATTTGCAAAAAAAAAAAAAGAGTGCTTGTCATGACTCGAAAATTTCACATCTACATATTTGTTTCTATGTAAAAGCTGATATCCAGGTAAGGAAACAGTGGGTTCATGGTTGTAAACAAAGCACAGCTGCTGCCAAAGCCTGCCTGCCTGTATGTATTCATTAGCCTACATCCCAGTCTGCTTCCCATTGCCTCCCTGTGTGTAGATGAGAGGGAATCCCCTCTGGTAATATGCCTTCAGTTCATCCCCAGTCATTCTGAGAGGAATCACCCATCCATCAGGGAAGGGGGTATGATGGAGAACCCCCCCACCCCCATAAATATATACAAGCACACACAGACACACACACACTCCAGTTTTTAACCTTATACCAAGCTTTGCGCTGATACCAGGGAAAAACCTGGTACAAATGAAAAGTGGCAGAGCCAGTGTGTATGAGAGCACATCAAAGCAGCACCGGCAGTGTACAGTGCATTTGCAAAGACCCGCTCAAAACCATAACAACACAATTTCAGCTCTTTGCATCCCTCACAAGAGGACATATTGATCTACTCATGCCGGCGCTACAGGACCGCAGGAACCGGCTGTCAGTATCTAGAGGATTTGCACAGCCTGCAGGAAGATGAGAGCTGTTAAGAGTCTGTCAGACAGACTGGCTGTCTCTCCAGAGCTAAAATCACAGTGAGGAAGTGCAGGAGCCTCAATCAGTGTCCACAGTAAGCAAAACTCTGATGAGCCACATTAAAATGTACCGCAAGAAAACATTTGTCAACTGCACCAATCGATTGATGTGTGATAATGGCTTTAACAGCCATGCAGCTAGGAGATCCAGAGAGAAATGTATGCCTGTGTGTGGATGGGGTACTCTGCTGCTGCTGAGACAAAGCCCCCTAACCCTGGTGCTCCTACCTCCTCCGGCCCCCCCAACGCGATGCAGGGGTATGATGCCCCATCCCCCGGGAGTGTGCTGTCCTCCTGCAGGATGTTGCTCTTCTTTGTCTGCCAAACTGAGTGGTTGGCTGGCTGGTTGGCTGACTGAGTGAATGAGTGAGCGTGTGCGAGTGTGTTCCTGTGCTGCATCCAAACCCCCAGCCCCGCTTTTCTACCCCCAACACCCCGCAAGCTCGTCGTCCCAGCATCAACACCCCACTCCACCAACCAGGCCACGGCCTGCCTCCTGATTATGTGGTATCCTAGCGACAGCCAACGGGGTGCCTATGGATTCCCCGTGCAGAGCAGCATGCTGATTGGACAACGGGATCCTCTCTAATGAAGATGATGGTAATGATTTTACTCCGTCTTTCCCCTCCCCCTCTGCTGCTGCCTGAAATTTTTTAGGATACATAGACCCTCTAACATAAGGTGGACTGTAATCATCACGTTAATTATTTTTTTATGAAAAGCCAAACACCTAAGGTAATGAGGCATATCATTAAAACAACAGCACTGAGATGGCATATCCTTTATTTTGCCTAGTATTGGTCTGGACAGCTGAAAATTGAAGGCTCAATTTCCATTTCAGTGCCTCAAATTTGGAGACTGCAGGTTTTAAACCATTTATAGAAAGGACAATTTCCACAAATAACCTGCAACTGAACACCTAACCCATCATTTTACTAGCAGGCCAGCAATCAGCATCAATTTTGAGGCTTGAGGAAAAAGAATTGATCCACCAAGACAGCCATTACCAAGTAACTATCTGCTATGTAAGGTAATGGTAGAGTATACCTTTAGCAAAACGTACCATAAACCTGCTAAACTCCTGCTAAAACAGCACCATTAAAGCTTAATGGAAACCTATGAGACATATTTTAAACATTCGCAGCACAATGGTGACAAGCCCTGAATTAATGCAATTGTGAAAATGAAATGCAAAACAATAAAGGTAGAAAATTGCAGGTCCCTCTTAAAAGTGAAATGGGATAGCTTTGCATTTGAATTCAAACCTCTCCTTAATGACAAACAAATGCCTTTATGTGGAATATGGAAGATAAGACCAGAGGATAATAACATACTTATGGTCTGTCCCACCACATTAACACGCCACCCAGCTGTCTACATGTATGACATGTAGCCATTTGAATCGTTTGCTGGTGCAATGTGGTATTGATTGGGGCCAACCATGCGTGAACCTCATTGATTATTATCTTGTCATTAGCATATAGATTAGCTGGCGGTGGAGCCAGACATGCAAGCCTCGAGTCTCACACTTGGCGAGCAGAGCATGTGTGCGGCAGAAGGGGGGGGGGGTGTCAAAACAAGAGGAAGAGAATAGAGGTCGGTTGGATTTGTTTGGGATGTGCTGCTTGATGTTGGACGTCAAGATCTAAAGGCATGGGACCCCAAACTGCTTTGAGATAAAAGAATAAACAGAGTGGTCTCAGTGAAGTGAGGTGTCGGGGTGATCTAGCAAGATCTCTTGAAGAGAAATAAAGTCAACCTTTTTCCCCCCAAAGAAGACTATTGCCTAACAAGCTCTTCTGGGTAGAGGTATTATAATAAATGATGTAAGCCTTCCTTTTAGATTTTCTTCATCTCTGCTAGCCCATGTACTCATAGTTAGCTTAAGAATATACCAATACATGTACTCGATACTCATTATGATTCATTTTAAAAGTCTGAAATAAAACCAAAACATGGCATAAAGAGTTCCAAAAGAACAAACTGTACTGAAACAGTCCTCGTTGATTAAGCCCTTATAGAGCTTAATAAATTAATTAGATACTGTCTATGTCTGTCTTCACTTTTTGGTGGAGGGACCATTTATATCACACAAGGGGAATAGAGCATCCAGCGGCCAGACTCATAAATCTCTGTGGACAGAGAATTCAAGCTTGTTGAAATGTTTTTTCCAGATAATGAGGATACTGTCAAGATGACATGCACTCAAGTGACATTTTCCTAAAATGTTCTGGAGGGGCTGTAAGTTGCTCCAGATATTTTCCTAAACATTTCCTGCCATCCCCCCTCCCCCATTGTGCATCAAATCTTAAAAAAGACACCATGCACTGTAAAAGGTTGATAAGTCCAGTGACTAAACAATGAGCAAAGTCGAACATTTAAGATCAAACTAAGCACTCGTCTGGTATTGAGCCAACACTTGGTGTCTTCACAAGTTTCTACATATCGTGACATCCCTAGTCAACATGATATGTCATCTACTCTCACCTAATTCCTAATGAATGAAAAGAGCTTGCCTCAGAATCTCTGATGTAAAGATCAGCTTCCACATCCTATGCTCTAAAAAGCAGCACTTCTCCTACAATGCTGGGGGGGTCATCCCCAGAGGCTGATGATGGTCAATGGGTCTTGTCCAAACAGAACAAGCAGGGCAGTGCCTTTGTTAGAGTGTGTAAGACATAGATACCCACTGATCCCAGGGCAAGATTGTTCAGCTAGCCGTAAATTGAGCTATCTGGCTCAGATGGACTTCGCCTTCCACAGCTGAGTAGACCAGTACAAAGACACCCTGGCTGCTTTCCAGGTTAAGTGTGCTAAGCGTGTGCCATTCCGGCACATGTAGCCTCACACTGTGAAAATACAAAACACTTTCACTTGACTCTCCTGAGAGGCCTTTGGTCGTTTTTCTATTTAGCTCCATTTAGTAAGACCCTCGCCCTCTAGGTGCACATTGCTCCACGGAAACTAAAAATTGCCTTGGCGCTTAACAACTCTCAAAATAAATATGGGAGAAGTGGACAGGGAAGTACAGAGAGGGGCAGTGGGATGACAGATAAAATGAAATATTCTCCGTCTGATCTAAAAATATCCAAGTTAAATTGTTCTGGCAAAGCTTGCAGATTAGCAGCACACTTCAATCCACACTGTTCTTTCAGAGCAGTCTCTGAGGCATCACTCTCAGGCGTCGATCGCACCAACAGAAAAAAAATAGGTCAGGTATGAGCTGAGCTGAGCAGCAACACACAGAAATATAGCACTTCATAGCCTCTCAGAAACAAGCTCTTAAAATTTACATCAACTCCACCACTGAACCAGGCATCAAAATGCAACAAATAAACTTCAGTGGTTCACTGGGGACTCAGAAAGATTAATGATTATATAAGAAAATATACATTTATTTATTACTTTTCTATGGACTAGATCAAATGTGCATTACAGTTGTTATTTCATGGGGTTAAAAATGAAGGCACTGAAGTTGTTTCCCTTGATGAAACACATCCTTTTATTTGCACACATTTGAGATTTGAAAGATAATAGCAAATCATTTTTATTTTAGAAATCATAATTTCATTGTTAAAAGTTGCAAAAGTCAACCTCATCATCAATAAGCCTCTTTTCTATGCATGGACTATCTATCACAGGTCATCACAGGGACAGAGTGGTCTTTGACCTGATTTGACATGTTGTGATATCTTGTGTTCTCGAGATTATCTCAACATCCGAAGCATTTGGAATGATCTTAAATTTCAAAGATTAAGAATAATAGGGACCGTTGGACACTTGTCAATATTAGTGCATAGACTAATCAATGTATTTTATATTTAATGTTATACTGCTACTGTACTATCTGGATTTTCTCGTAATTGATGCATAAAAAACCCTGCTTTAGTTTAACCCAATTTTTTTATGATTCCACCATTTTGAACTCCCTCGACTTGACTGAACATTAATCAAGAAGAGTCTGTAAAAGTGGTTGACAGTGTGGCTGCATTAAGTTATAAACAGGTTACCAAAAAATGGAGAGTAATCTTTACCAACACTAGTTTTTGAATCAAAGACAACCAACAACCAACATGGCACATCATCTAAAAACAAAAAACTAGAGAATAACTTGTGAGCATTTGGAGGCTTTATCAATTTTCCTCTTCAAGGCTTTAATTGTGAACAAATCAGAATTGGGACATTTCAGAACATTTTGCTGCAAACATTAGATTTTTAGGTTTATTTATAATTACTTTAGACTAAAAGTACCAACGGCAAACAGACTCCTCACTACAAAACTGATTTGTTAATGAGTGGGTATTATTCCAGTCGACTACAGGCCAAGAGACAGGGAAAGACAACTTCTGCTCCCTTCAATCATCACAATGATTAATCAGAGCACAGCCTGGATGCTGATTTGACCCATTTAAACAAAACTATTAACTGTCACAATTGGACAGAAATAGAAAAAGATGAACACACCCACTCCACTAATTATTGCCCAATGAACCATCTATAAAATTGACACAACATAATCAAGCTATCCTGACCTTGACAACTTATCTTTTTGAATCAATTAGTTCCTGATGACGCATGCCGACTGACAACCTGCCTGTGACTATGGAAATGCTGGCTGTTGCCAGGACTGAAACTGGCACCTCGAGCATACCGGAGCACAGCTGGTGAGACTCCTGCCAACAAAAATGTATCCTGGTATGCTGAAACAGCACCAGAAAAAAACTAAACTCTTACAGCCGAGTTCATTTTAAAGTAAAGAGTAAAGTGGCTGTGGTGCTGATTGAGTCTAATAGATTGTCATGCAAGAGGCGAGTCAATACATAGTGGGCGGAGATGGGGGGGCAGTTGGGCCATCTCACATGTAAATGACACCTGTCTAAACAAAATATTTGAATGATGTGTGGCTGTATCTGTCTCATCAGATTTAAATCAGCCTTTTCATAACACTTAGATAACTCTCTACAGACACCAATTCACCATGCTCTTAAAACAAGCTTCCCCCTGAAATTAACCCCAGAAGAGCATAAGAAAATCGATGTTCTTCTTCGCTAAGTGTGTTGCTGCTTTTGTCACATGAAATAAAGTAATTTGTGGGCATCTTATGACGCTCTTGAGTTTAGATTTTAAACAGACATCCAGCTACATTGCCATTGAAAAGAGCTGCGATTAAGTCGTCCTTACTTACACTGAAACAAGAAAAGCATATTAGAGTGTGTGCTTTTATATTGCATGTCAGTGTTCCAGAATCCGAGGCATGACATGTAACAACACAACACCTGTGTCTGTCCGACATCAATCCAGCTACTACATGCTTTGGAGGTTTATG